GGTGGTAGCGGCTGGAAATCCGGCGGTGGATGGAGCAGTGGAGGAGGTGGATGGAGCAGCGGCGGAGGTGAGACAGATTTCGAAATGATGTCACATGATGTTGATTGTGATTTATTGCAGGTGGTGGTGGATGGTGGTAATTGCATCACACCGAGTCACTTCGAGAGAAGGACCAAGTCGAGTGATATTTCCAACCACAAACTTGTACCTATCTAAATTCACAATGTACATAATTTTTGTATTTTTTAAGTATTTGTAAATAAACTTTTTACAAAATTTGTCGAACTTTTATTTAAAAAATAGGATTACAATAAAAACTTTTTTTGAATAAAAAATCAAACGTACTTTTTTAATAATCTTAATAAATTTGTGTTCTAATACTTTTTAAAAACAAATAGTTTTATTTAATTTGATTTTGATTTTTATTTACGTACTAACATAGTGTCTATCACCAGAAGGGGCTAACAGTTCTTCTAGAAAGTCTGTTTATCTCAAAAAGCTTTAAACACTATAAAAAATGAACTATTTTTATCGGGCTAACGACTAACATAAAAAATCTGGTGTGAACATCACACGACTTTCCGTATCCAACTTATTTGGAAAACATCCTTAACTACGGTGTTAGAAATCCGAGTAGCAAACGTTTGCGTTAATGCCACCTGTCGGATTACACACGAGTGTGTTCGAGTTCGAGTCTGGGGTGCAATTTTTTTTAGTTCGGTACCCATTATTATTTTTATTTTATCACATTTTACTTTTTAATAAAATATATTTCATGATTCTAAATAATTTTTACACACACACACATACACGTCTACTTGGTTTTTATGATTATTATGAATTTATTCAGGTTTAAACAAATGTGTAAGTTTTTAAAAATTATAAACCACGGAAAGTACAATTTTATAGCCTCTCTTTCATTATTACCCTCGACACTTTGCGTCAACTTGGCTATAAAAATTGTTTTCTCTTCTTTGGTAGATATATAATTAAAATTATTATTTAGTTTGTCACTTTTATTAACGGTAAAAGTATAAGTATGTCTTTACACAACAGATGTATATATTAAGTTGCATAGGTATACAGGTTGTTCTGTGGTATACAGTCCAATGCTGTTTTATACAGATACGTATGTGCCCGGATTGGGTTTAAAAGAAAAAAAATTATCTTTGCTTTTACGCCAACACTGTAAAGGAAAAACATTTTTTGCTTCATGTGAAACAAATCTGTAATTAAAATTTTATTTCATTTATCTTTTGATTTTGGACTAATTTTTATCAGCTTTTTAAGTCTTATCACATTGGCGGTTTTATTTATTTGACAACTATATGTGTAGGACCATTTTTGAGACACAAAGTTAAAGCCGATTTGAACACGTGCAAACTTCATTACAATGGCCGTTGGTGAGCCAAATTTGCGAAAGGAACGCAATTAACAATTGTCAGGAAAATTATTTTAGGCCGGCGGCAATTTTAACAACTCACTACTTTAATAATTTTGAAAGTACTCAACCATTTTGAAATAATCCTGTCAGAACAGCTGGTGCCAAGGTGTCGAGGTCAGGTCATTATTTAATGATAAGGCAACGCCTGTAAAAATAAAATGGGGGTGTGAGTAATCCAGTCCATCGGAGTGAGACGTCCACAATCATAATTCGTGAATAATTAAATATAACAGTGATTAACCCAAAATAATTATGCAAATCTATCAACAATAAAATATGTACTTCGAATAGGATCAGTTGCGCTCTGCCCGGGTACGAAAGGGTAGATAAATCGCAGTCCTGGTTTGAGTAGGACTCCAGGAGCCTAGGGAAAACCAGGTTAAGGGTCAACCATTTGCTCATAGATTCCAACCAGGCCGCTTGCTTCTGGACGTGCTGACATCGAGAGACCACATCGCAGTCCTGACGTTCAATGGTCAACGCTGACCTGTCAGTAACCACTTGCCCTGGGAGTGCAATGAGTACCTTGGTAATATCCTTCCGGACTTCCGGACCCGCATCCAATGGGTCCTTCAACCCCGGCAGTGCAATGGATATTATGATAGCGAWACTACGATCCAGTGACCTAAATAAAGGGGTGGCGCCTGGGAGTGCAATGAACACCTTTTTGACCTACCACCCAGCTGCTAATCACACATAGCCCTGAGCGTGCAATGGAGGCCCTCTTCATAGCGCAGGTAGTGTTCGTTCCATTTGAGCCTCGACGAAAATCATAAACACCGTTACGAGGGTACTGGGAGTGCAATGAATGC